TCATATTATATGTTCATTTTTATAGGGAGGTAGTAATTTGTTCGACATTTAAACAATTGGATTGATTGTTTTCGGAACACAAATCGCAAGCACGGTAAAATGTTAGCCACTTTGTGTACAATCACCACCAAACGAAAAATCAAAATGAGGAAAACTAATTCGATATCATGTATTTTCTACCTAAAAACACTAACTAAATTACTTAATTTGAACAAAAAACGAATAAAACAATCACTGTAAGTCGAACAGTATTCACAACAAATGACTTGCCTTTTCAAATGCTCAGATGGATATGAATCAACCGGCCCCCGTTTGACTGCTGAATATGGTTTTGACATAAATACCGTACCGCAACAACTCTACTCATTTCGTGATGAAATTCATGTTTAATCGGTTCCGATATAGAAACTCAATACATGCTCGGATAACGGGATCAAATAAACAAACGCAACAAACATAACAATTACAAATGAGTCTGTTGTTTTGTGTTGCGTTGTATGCGATGAAAGAGAAGTTCGTGCCAAAATCACGCTCCTAATGTGAAACACATACACAAATCGAAGTTCTTGTTAGAAGTTTGTTTATACGGTTCGTTCGGCACATAGTAGTTGGAATGGTTGTCATTTCAAATGTTTGAATTTGGCAGATGCTGGGTAGCGTTCCGAAAACATTAGACAATTCAAATTAGACAGTTCTTTTTGCTTCGGGAAGTGTGTATATCATTCGTTATAATAAATGTTTGCATTGAGAACTCGTCTCTGGCAGTGAGATTGAATCGAAAAAATGGAAAATATCAGATTAGTTTCAACGAATAGTGATATAACCTCAAAATTCTATGATTTTCTGTTTTGATCTCGGGAAGTGGCATCTTTGATTATTTTAAAGTGAAAATACATGCAATCGACTCAGAATTGTTCACTCTTTCAATCCAGAACTACCATTTCTTGATTATTTGATGGCAAAAACACCCTAATGTACATGTGATTGGCAATGTTATTGAACAGAAATATTGTACGGTGCAAAAAGCAGCAGAAAAAAGAGTATGAGAATAAAAATTAATCATTTGTAAGGTCATTTGATCAGATAACAGAATGGCGATCACATCCTTAACCCATTTTGGCCCGCTGGTCGTTTTTCCGACCAGTGAAACGACCGTTGCTTCCCAGACTGATATCTCAGTTCCTAGGTGGTAAATTTGGTTACTTTTTTTTTTTAAATTGAAGTTTGAAAGACGAACTATCCATTGGGAGTCAAAATAAAATGGAAAAAAAAATCGAAGTTTTTCAAATCGAGCTACGAAAAAATGATGTTTTTTGGACCTTTTTTCACTCAGTAGATAAGAAAATTTGGAAAATAAAAAATGCAAAAGTAATGATGCAGATCTTTCATAAAAAGACCATATTTTTAGATACAATTCCTCTTCCGATATTTACTTCGTGATTTGTGTGCAGTACACGTGCGTAAAAATGGGTGGTCGGAAATCCGACCATTGGTCCTATATGTGATCAAAAGAGGAAGAAATCAATTTTTTTAGATACTTTTTAAAACATTGATATTTGATATGACAATCATTTGTTTAGTCATAAAACGATAAAAAATAAATAGAAATGTCTATTCTAACTTAATATTAAGTGAAAAATGAATTCATCATAAATTATTCCATTCATTTGTGGGCCTCGTAGAGTGTGAAACACTTTGCGTGTAGGTGAATGTTGCAACGTTTGCAAATCTGGTTTGTGTGTTTGTGGCAGTGCTTGCATCGACGACTTTTTCCATCTGGTGACCGTTCAATGAGATGACTTTTGACTGCGTCATTTACCAGTCCATCAGGTTCATAATCAGGATCGTCAATGTCATCATTCTCCATATCGACCTCGTCGTCACTGGCAAACTCTTTCTCTAAGGAAGTGATCAAGTGCTTGGTGATTTTGGAACGGAATTCGAGTTGTGATAACGGTTTGAACGGGTTGGCACTATTTTTAGCCACGAAACAATGCAATTTCCATGCATTAACCACTGCGGTGCTCAACTGCCACCACCATTTCTTGCCACGCACATTGACCCGATAGTTCGCTGCTGCATTGTCATGCAAATCCACGCCGCCCATGTGTTGATTGTAAGAATTGATAAGGTGCGGCTGATGAAATGCTGCGATTCGCTTTTGCTTTCGATCATACCGTCGGGTCGTTTTCAATGGCTCAATCCTTTCAAAGTTTGTGATCATGTTGACGTCAGCGTTATCGTTCCAACGTGCCATGAGAATTTTCGTTCGAAGTTTTCTCCGTTGGCCAACTGACTTAAAATCATTTAAAATGCATATTATGAATTCAAACGATTATGAAATGTGATAAAACACGTCTAAAACAACGATATTGATGGTAAAAATTAATTCTATGAATGTATTTTCATTCTTTCTTGAGGATTAAAAAAATTCAAAATTTCACCTACATTTGATTACATTAGGGACCGTTGGTCGGAAAAACGACCAGCACATTTTTGCTCATTCTGGCTAAGTGCGAAAAAAAATTATCGATCTGGAAAGTGGAAACTTCTTTTTTCGACTATATTATTCATATCTGAAAGTTTGAATCATTTTGAAAACAAAATAAGGATCGCGGTCCAAAATGGGTTAAAGCACAATCAATACGGTTCGGTCAACAGCAACAAACAAACAAAGAAAACAGAAAAACAAGAAAAAGCCATTCAACTTGTGCTATCGCGCTAGCTGATTGGTATTGAATGGGGGGGGGTACTTTGTAATAATTCCGAGTACAACTTCACAGTGCAATTACGCTGTTGCATCAATCATCCAATTGCAATGCAAGACAATCCCGATACACATATGGGATTAAAAATAGCCTCGATGTCATCATTGCACGGAAGGATTGCCGTGTTTAGGTACTTGAGCACTGTCACACATTGCATGTTTGCTCAAAACAATTCTTGCGACAATCATTATTGGCTACGTAAGCAGAAAATTCAAACAACAATATTTTGCCAATTGAATCGCAGCGATACCGCAATAGTTATGTGCCATTTAGTCATTCTACGTAAGTGTATACACTTACAATGCGGTACGGTCCAATCAATGAAACTGTTATCACTAGTAAAATTCTCACGCAATTCTCATTTACACTAAAATAAAGGAATAAACATACTGCCAAGGTGAAAATGGCCTGTGTTTTGTCACCAGTATCTCTAATAGAATTGTTATCATCGCACAACGCGCTCCATTTGATTGTGTACACTATTCCACGTATTGAGATTGAGAATGCTTACGACATTGTGACAAAGTACATAAATTGTAGTAAATATTGTCGTTATGCATTTCGCGATCGAAATATATGTGTGTGCAGCCCAGTGTGTGATCGCTTCTGATTTGTCTCAATGAACATATGAAAAACTGTTTCTCTTGCTACTGCTACACCAACAACAACAACAACAACGACGACAATATTACGACTCTCATTTCATACGCGTATACTTTTCATTTCGAGTATTCGTCGCAAATGATTATTACTGGGCAGTGTGCGATGACATATCATTTCACCATGTGGAAATCGAAAGATAGTGGAGAGAATAAATGAAATACAAACAACAAGACAATTTCCAACGGCGAACAGAGAAGAGAATTATGAGCAAGAGAGGCATTTTATTTAGTCATTATCAGCTGGCTACTTTAAGCTGTAACTATTTGCCAGCGGAATAGTTCGAACTGGATGCTTCGTCAATGGTTTTTTCGGTACCGAATTCGATTGTTTTGAATATCGCGAAATGTACGGGTGTTGTTGCCGTGTTAAAGTTTTTTTTTTGTTATTTTTTATTTCTCATCGCAACGGTGCGGCAATTTTCGTGTGTGTGTGTTCGACCAAAATTCGGTTTGTACGCATATCAATCAAGTTTGATTAGTCATTGAAACAAGGGGAAACTTTACCGATTTTATGAGCTGACTAATGTGATTCAATTCGCTGCGATTCGCATTGAATCGATTGAGTTTGTAAAGTGCGTGATAAAGAAAGCCGAGAGAAAGAAAACCAGCAAAACGAGAGAGGAATTCCTTGAAAACGAAAAACCCAAATCGCAATCAAAGCGTCATCATCAATGTTTCAGCATATGAAAATTCATCTGAGAAATAGTTGTGTTTATTTCGCGCATCGAAAAAAAAACTGGATCTATGAACTGGACTAGCCATCCACGCAGGCCAACACGATTTTTGCGAATGAGGTGAAACTGACATTTTAACGTTTTGACAGCGAAACAGAGCGAAGGGAAGGGAAAAAACCGCCAAAAAACCAAAACAAAGAGAGAGAGAGACAGACAGAGAGAGAGAGAGAGAGAGAGAGAGAGAGAGAGAGAGAGAGAGCGAAAAAACTCATCGACACAACTCAAACATACACCGACACACCACCGCATAATATGCAAAAGCCAAAGCCGAAAAAATCAAAATGGTAAATTAAATGGCCCGATTTTTATAATTTGCCTACAGCGCACTAAACACTCAAAACAAAACCAAAGAGAAAAAAAGCAATCATTATTCATAAAGCAAATTAATTTCGTAGAGTGTGTATAAAAATGAGCCGTGAATTTTAATGAAGTAAACGAATTGCAAACGTCTCAATTTTTCAGTTGCACTAGCGCGCTCATTCGCACAGTGATTGTTGCGTTGTGATGCGATGCGATGTGAAGGTTCTTGCCAGCCATTATGTATATATTTACTTATCGCAAAACTCAATGCACATTGAAGCAATTGTTAATTTTAAAATGCGCTGACGTGAAAAACTCAATTCCGTAAGTGGATGTGATCAAACAAAACTAGAAAGAAGTTTACACAGCATACAAAAACAACTATAAAATGGCCGGTGTGCGCGCACACACACACACAAAACGGCAGTGAGTGCATGACATGAAAATTAATGAATTTCGGCGAATGCGATGATAAAACTTTAGGAAAATGAGAGACGCCAAGCACGATTTGCATACGGTAGAGAAACGCAGAAAAAAAATGCCAACAAATCCAAGCCATAATAGTAAATAATCTTGAACATTCCATCGAATGATCGATGTGATTTGAACATAAATGCACATTGAACGGAATCTCAATGCTCAATCTAGTTGTGATTAGATCTATTTCATGTGTATATTTCCTGATTTTGTACGTGATAAACCACTAATCTGTCCACTCTGCACACACTTACTCACACGCAAACACACAAACACACACACACACACACACACACACACACACACACACATGCCAAACCAGAGGCAATAAAAAAGCTCAGCCGACGTGTCTATAAATACGGCAAACACACAATGTGTGAGCACGTATCATCGCTCGCTATTTTTAGACAAATCATTTATATTTAAATCAAAACTAGCTACAATTATAATCGAAATGGAAAATCGATTGGATCTCTGCTTCTCGACATTTCCATCTGCATTGTCTTCGGAAACATCGGTTGGCTTTTCAAATCATCTCTCGATCGGAAACAATGTATCATTAAATCGTTGGTGGGTATCGAGGGACAAGCCCAAAAACGTCGGCATGAATTACCGCAACCCGATTATGATTCTTAAATTACATTTTCTCTCTCTCTCTCTCTCTCTCTCTCTCTCTCTCTCTTGATCTGGAACAGCCCTAGATTTATTATGATTGACAATGTTTTCCATTCAATAACTAATCGTATAAAATTTACAATCCAAAATCACGTCAGCATCATGAGAGGCCGTTTAAATATTGCAAATAATGTCGCGATCTTATGCGTTGCGGTTTGAATACGTTCAAGTCAACCGTAAATAATGACAGAAAAAAAGTGAAACAAAAAAGTTGAATTGATAGTAATAATAAGGTTGAATTGGAATTGAAATCGATCTGATACAATGACGGACAAATCAGATTCATTAAGTTGTTACGAAATCCATGCACCGAAAAAGACGAGGGAAAAAACAACAAGTCAAATAAATGATGAAATTTCAATTGAAATGCTCGGTTTGAAATGAATCGAAAAATCCTTATAATGAAATCGATTGCATTGCCGAAAACAATGCGTTTTTTGAGAAACTCAATGGAACTTCGGGTGAAGCGACAGATCCATGTAATCCAAACGACGCATAGACAACTGAATGAATCGTTTGTGTTTGTGTATTTGCATATTTTATGGAATCGGCTATGCCGTTCAAACGTGAACTTTTCAAATATTTGCAATCAATAATATTTGTTCAGTTTCTCCTGCGCGTCTGTTGCTTGTTGTTTTATTTTTATCGATGTTGTTGTTGCTCCATTTGCAACATTGAAAGCCATTTGCGGCCGCAAATTCAATTACATTTGCGCCACCTTTGTTTGACAGCGATCGTACAGAAATGGCAAATACGTTGTATTGTAGACAGTTATGGGGTCATAAACACAATTTTATCGTCACAGTCCTCCAATTGTTCAACGCTACAGCAAAAATAATAATACGGAAATACCCTTCCATTAGAAGTATTCTTCTCTCACACTCCATAGAGCAGTTAAAATGTAATCATAATGAAACGCGCGCGCTCGCGTTCGCGCTCGCGTAAACAATGTGCAGTTTTATGTACGTTCATAATTTTCCATTTTATTAGCGAATTGTGTGATCCGAAGGATTTTCTTATGAAATGAAATACCGATTCGGTCAGCACGGAACAATCGCGGAATTTTTATATTCAATTTTCGTTTTGCGGCAAACAGTTATTTCATCGGCCGGCATATTGACGTGCGTTCACACTCGCCGCTCTTCACACGATATATTTGTGCTAATGAACACAATCACCAGTGTGGACAGACGGATCCATAAAGTTGTTTTGAATACTCGCAAAATTTTTAAGTAAACACACAGAAATTAGAATTGTCAATAATTACGACATTGTGTGCGCACATTACACTAATGTGCTTACAGTAGTGTCTGATGTCTATGTGCATGGTTCTCTATTTTTATTTCTGTATTCTCGTTCAACATCGTTCATAATCGTTCAACAACAAAAATGGTAATTAACTGGAAACGAACACTGACTGAATCGATATGAGCTTCCGTAGCGTTATTCATGTTTGCATGAAATCACATGAGTCGAACTATGGACGATATTGGTGAGCTGTTGTTTTCCTGAACTAAACATGCATTTTTTCCGGCAATCTTGATAAGATTCATAGAAGCCAAAGTCACCATTCTATTCTTCAGCACAATGCGAACTCTTCGGCTGATGTTGCTATTCAAATGACTTTTTTTTCGGGAATATAATAAACAATGATTATCCGAAACAAGTGAGAATGATGCAGGTGATATCATAATAACAATGCAAACGGGGTAATTAAACGCAATTGTTCCGGGCAAATCGTTTTGAATTGGCCGCGTGCTTGTGTTGAAAGCCATCCACTTAAATGATCCATTAGAACAGATCATAACGATGATCTGACGGCAAAATTGTCGTTTGCCGAAAACAGGCTCGTGTCCAGCAGCATGCATATTGGCGTTTGTTTTGGTTTTTTTTTCTGCTTCTATCTCACATTCAAAACAAATGTAATTTGATTGTTGTTGGGTTGAATTGATTGGCTATACCAACAAAATTACAATATAAAAGAGAAGAGAGAAGTTGAATAGAAAAAAAACCAAATCCATTCAAGGTCATTTAACAAACTGTACGTAATACAATTTAGTGCGCGTGCGCTATGCCACAATGTTGATACACTCTAAACACATTAGACGGCATATAGAGTGTGTCCAAGAGAGTGGCAAAGACACATGGTACACCAAAGGCTCAGCAGACACACATACACACACACACAAGATGTGCCCATAATTTATCATGTTCAGCTATATCACTTCCTTGAACTTGTATCGATTGCAAAGCAACAGTTGAATAAACCAACGCCGCCAGTATGTGTGTGGGCATCTCGAGCGATTCAATATCATTTTTCAGGCATTTTGTCAGTCTTGTCAATCAACTGAGAGTACAATCGCTTTTGTTATTTGCTCGAGGCATACAAATCCATATTTATTGCCGTGAATGGAGTTTAAAAACTGCGATAGCCACAAGAAGAAAACCGCACACTTTGGAGGCAAAGTACTTGAATGCTGTACGCTATGCGGTTCATTTTTTTTTCACTTCTGCCAACACTGAGAATGTTGACTCATGTAATTCATTCAATGAACGCTTTGTTGTTGCTCCTTTTTTTTGAACGGAAAAAAAAACTTTGTTTGAACAACAACAGCCGTAACAAAAAGTCTCAAGTGAATTGAGGTTTGCCTTAGAAGTTCTCTTCTTTCTATCTTCAATGCATGGCAATAAAGAGCTAATTGCAAATTTTATATTCTATTAATGTGTACTACATTGTGTAGTAAGTGGTGTGGTTGATCTTGAAGCCGGTCCAAGCGCTAATCGAATGATCGTGCGTGTATAAGAGCGCGCACACGACCCTTCTTACAGTCTGTTCACACGCTAAAATTGCTTTTTAATTTCATTTAAGAATAGAAAGAAAATTAGAGAGAGAAAAACCATCGCAAATTGTTCGTGTCGAACATTAGTTATGAGTTGTATGGACGTTTTTTTTTTGTTTCTTCTTTCGTTTCGCCGTTCAATAATACTGGCATTGCTATCTTCTGTAGCGAATTCTGGCAACCGTTGTTAATGCGCAGAAAATTCATTTGGCTGTTGACTTGACGCAGGTAGAATATATTTTTGCAGCGTTTCAGAATAATTATATTTGAGAAGGAACATCGTTGTCAACATCACACGAACTTCACAAAGATCCGTTTATCTAGAAGCAACGACGTGATTAAGAGAAAAAGATAAAAAATATCACAGACATCACACCATATTTTACTACTATTGTTACTGGTTGGCAGAGTGATTTCACTCTCCGGTGATACTGTCTATTGCCATTGATGCCATAATGCACACAGGCATGTGCACGAGTGTATGTGTTTACATGAGCCTGTTTCAAAAATGATGATTGCCAATTCTAAAGAATCAAATCGTTTGAATTGCAAATTATCATTCGGTGGGCCACTTGCTCTAATTCAATCAATTGTCGCGCGAATACACATTGCACACGTCACATCAAAAAGTTGAAGAAGAAGAAAAAAACTCAATACACTACAACAAATTACTAGGTGAAACTAGGCACAAATGACTATGTCTAATGTCAATGGGAATAATATAAATTATAACGGCATGGATTCTTTTGAGGCAAAAGAGCAACAACAACAACAGCCAAAACTACTGATTAAGTCGGTAATTGACGTCACATCCATATACGTTAACACGTTCACAGACCTCTTTTTGATTCCAAATCGTGTCAACCGAAAAAAAAAATGCCGCAACTAGAATATCGCCAAATCACGTTATTCGATACCAATTTCTATGACAACGACCATACGATTTTCCTTATTTGGTCCATTTTATTATGGTCAAAATGTGTGTCTTTTTTTACCGGCACAAGCCATAAATTTTGAGGCGTGTGCTTCAACATTTTTTGTTTGAGCTTCTATTCAATATATTTATTTTATAATATGACCAATTCCATCTTTATTCGGTATACTAACATGTGCTTCATTTTTTCTATTTCTTCAGACCGTGATAAATGCTGCATACTGCTGTCTGATCCTGTTGGGTAAATCGATTCAGAAATTAGTGTTTGGCGAACTTCGCATCTCAGAGCAACAACACTTGAAAGACAAATTCTGGAACTTTGTATTCTATAAATTCATTTTTGTCTTTGGTGTAGTCAACGTTCAATTTTTGCATGAGGTAAGTGTCTAAAATCCTACACCGTTAATTTATTTTCTTTATCCTCTGTTAAAATTTTATGTCATATCATATTTGCATTGAAAACATCGAAAATCTACGCTCGACTGTTTGTCTGTTTTTTTAAACGACTGACGCATTTACTATGGTGCTTCTTCATCAGTAAATTTGTACCCCTCAAATGATTATTGTGATTATTTTTTTTTTCATACATTGATTGCATGATTTGCACAAATTTACCAAAATATGCTTTAGCTATGCTCGCAAAAATCCATACAACGATCCCGAAGACAGAGCAAAAAAAACAAACTCTAATCAAATATGAATTCAAATCGTCAATAAATCTTTGTCTCTTGCGTTGTAATCAAAATTTCAAATTAGTTTATAATAATATCGGTGATCAATTAAATTTTTCGGCGAAATGATAATGTTGGCGCAAACAAAATAAACATTTTTTTCTCTTCGACCGGCCAATATTTATTCCATGACATCAGAGTTTGTAATTAACTGAACTCTTTGACGTCAACATATTTCAATTAATAAATTACTTTTTCGCCTCATTCTGTTCGACAATAAAAAAAAATGAATGAGAAATGGAATGTGATATTTCCACATTCAAATGAAGAAGTCTAACAAATTGGCTGACATTTTTTTTCTCAGTTTTTTGGCAGAAAAAAAAACGAATATTATTTCATTTTTATTTTGCATTTTTTGGGGGTGATGTTTATCGATTCGATTTTAAACGATCGCTTCTTTTTCGCCTCATGAATATAACATAAAATATGTGCCATTATTTGCAAGTAAACAAAATACCAGACAAAGAAATCGAATCGGTTGGGTCGTTGGATCGTAAAATCGAAATGTGGAGGTAAAGCATTCGAATCGCTTTACATCGTCGTCGGCTGTTTTCACAATGTATATGAAACATGAAAGCATATGATACATATGTATCTATATATAAAAGTCGTCGAGTCGGATTAGATGTCGGTGTTTTGGTGCCAATGTTAGTATGTTATTGATAAACATCTGTTTTTTTCTTTTCTTTCTCTTTCTTTTCTCTGTGTGGTTTAATTGCAACATATAGGTTGTACTGTGGGTGTCATGGTTCTCGATACTCGGATTTCTGCATTTAATTTCTCAATTGTGCAAAGAACGTTTCGAATATGTAAGTAATTTTCAATGTTTCCAAAATGAATTATTAACAATAATCCTATAAATCTAGTTTCATTTGCATTTTGAGTCTAAATTCCGATCTTTTTATGAGGTTGAGGTAATCATCGCAACGCAAACGAGAAATCGATTGAAGAGATTCTCTCGAAGAGAATCTTTCGTTCATCACATGATTTGAATAGCCGTATAGTATGATTGTATCTCTGGTTTTTTTTTGGCATGAATAAATTTGATGGTCCAACGATTGGATTAGAACGTACCAAAGTAATGTCCACATTTAATACAGCGCTGACTTTCTGATTCGTAAAAGAAGAGAATTCCTTTTTTGATATTCTGATTGGCGTGGCTTACGTGCCGAAACGCGAATATGCACAGTTTGAAAGTATTTCCAAAACCAAACTAAATTCGAAGTGTTCTATCGAGAACAATCAATGGAACATTTTTAGAGAGCTGGTGCATAAACTATTTCGATGCGTGTTACGTTTAACCTTCCATCATATGAATCGTAGTCCAAAACCATTATTCAGTTTTTGACATTTTTTATATGTCTGTTCCAACGGCATCATCATTAAATGCACAACGTTAATGTCCAAGCTAAATGATTACATAGTCGGGAATGGAAAGGATCGTAGCGCGACTCTATTGGGCTCTCTAAAAAAACAGCGCACCCTTTTGGGGATTTATAGTTTTCTATGCAGAAAGTTGGCATTACTGCATCAGAATAAATACTGCATGAGGGCGCTGTGTACATGCGCATCCCAATATGTAAATAAAAAATTCTTCTTCATTTCATATTTTTTCGTGTTCACACCGACATGTTTATATTTGCATTAATGATAAAATAATAGAAAAGAATTAAAAAGATGAAATCGAACAAATGTCTAGTGATATAAAAATCGCTAATGTTTGGTTTTTAATATGATTTCGCAATATTTCACAATTTCACAATGTGTTGTAATCAATATGGAATCTTGTGAAATCATATGACAACAACAAAACGTGTCCATAATTATAACAGCGATGACATTAACCACAGACATTTTTATGAGTTTTATAGAGAAAAAATATGAGCTGAATTAAATTTTAAATTTTGCAATCATTCATGAATGCAGTGTACAATTATTCAAAATATTTTAAAATATGAAACTAACTGCATGCCTCCAAAATAATGTTAAAAAAAACTACGATTTAGAAAACAAACAGAATATTTCAGAAAAATTATTTTCTTTCATGTTGGCAATGCGCGTCAATGTCGGATCCCAACTAACGAAACATATCAAATTACTATGTATTTTATGTGTTGTAATTGGTTCGCATGTATTAATTGGGTTTCAATGATAAAATGTCCAAAAGGGGGCGCGTGTGTGTTTAGTTTTCATGCAAATTCCCATATAGTGTCGCGCTTCGGAAAGATAGACGCGACGTAAAAACGGAGAATTTTATTTCAAAACGAATTTCAACACAAAACAAACAAACGGCAAAATAAATTGCAACAATCAAAATCCAAATGCGCAAATGTGATCATGCTGATTCTAATGAATTCGGCATAAGATCATATCCAGCCCAACCACTTACGTGTATTCTTTGTGTGTGTGTGTTTGTAAATTCAATGAGCTTGGCGCTAAACGAATGCCTTTAGAACTTTTCTTAATAGATAAATATCAAATTAATTTATTTCAATCGTTTGATAATCTGGCGAAAGAACGAAATCGCTTCAACTAGTTTCTTGTTTTTGGCATGTGTTTATTAGAAATTAGCATGAATCAAAATTCAATTTGAAAGAAATCTTTCCCTCTGCGTCTCCCATAAAATGATCGTAACATTTATCGTAAACAAAAGGTTGTTCCTTGTGTTCATTCGAGAGTTGTTTTTACAAAAAAAAAGAAGAATTAAATGTTCATTGTTGTGGTTCGTCGACAATGAACAAGACACGCGAACGAGTTTTCAATCACGGGCCTACTTTCCTTTGACTCGAGCAAAAAAAAAAAAAAAAAAAACTTTATTCAACCGATTAGACTGTTAATTCCGCTAATTGATCCATAAACGATTCTCTCATTTCGTTCTAATTCTCATGAAGTCTGTGATTATTTTTATTAAATGTGTTGATTTTTGCAGCTCTCGTTTTCACCGACGACACCAGGATGGTCGCATTTCCGGCTCGTTGCATTGCTGTCAACGATCCTGATCTTGTCCGGCTTTATGTTCATCGTCTGTGTCGGTGTTGGATTTTTCGGCGGACTCAATACATTTGCCTTCATGGCGGCTGAGGTAAGTTTCACTTTGGTGATTTCAAGTTTCGCATTTTAATTGGCTGTGGTATAAATGGAGCTCTCTCTCCTGCTGTGTGCGTATGTGAATATTTTTAGAAAAAAATCAATTTAGTTCTTTGCTATAGGCATTCGATGCGATTGTTGGTTTTTGTTGTAATTCATAAATGGGACAACACGATCTGTGACGCAGATCCATTTGAAAATATCTACTGAAATATCGGATTGCGTGCGATAACAGAGCATAACTGAAATAGAATTTTTTTTTTTGCTGAGCCAATGATACTTCTGCACGCGTTTAAAATATGCCCACCGTTTTAACGATTTTGAATTCACGAAAATTCTTTATAATTCCATTCGCATTTCGATGATTTGACAGAAAAACAAATGTAGTCGAATCTGGGAGAAGGGAAAGAATTATGTTTAAATTCCAGTATATTCGAGGAAAATTTATTTTTCATGTTGTTCCATTCGATGGAGATGCTAAACATCATGTATCTGAGCATAAACAAAAATTTACGCTGGAAATAATGACGAACGAATACAATCTCGACCGGTTTAATTACCTCATTGAAAATGTAGGAAACACAAATGTTTTTTTCTCTTCTTCTTCTTCTTCTTTATTGTACACAAGGTGATCTTTCAAACTATAAACATATTGCCAGTACTTCAAAAATTCGAAGCGTTAAAGACAACAACTTTCAATTGTGTGATAACGCATTTGTTTCCATTCGACATCGTCGTCGTCGACAACCACTGTTGTCACCGTCAACACACTGCAAAAGTAAAGAATGGTTTTAAATTTGAATCACCATGTTTGGAATTGTCTCCTTGTTAGCGATGTCAACGCATACAAAAACGACATGAAAATTCAAATTTCCATTACAAAATCACACATCTGCATGCTTATAATCTGTTTTTGTTTTCGGCCGCTCTGTCCCACAGCATTGCCTATGTATATCATCGGCCTTTTTGAATATATTCTTTTATGCATGCAAGTGAAAAGTACAATGCAATGCTATAATTCAAGGCTGGACAAAATATAAGGCGCACACAATGAAAGACAACAACGGCCGCAGCTAATTATACGGTGAATGGAGTTATCGAGAATGTATTATCCCTAAAAAAATGTTTTTTTTTTCGAGTAGATGAATTCATCGTTCCACTTTTTTTCTTGTCAACTAGTTCAGCAACTGCACTCACATTTTGCTTTGTAAGTCTTCTTCGGGTGCTACTCTGAAAAATGAACACAAAAACACATGAAATTCATACTGATATCCATTTATTTATATATTTTCGGTTTGTTGTTGGTATACCAACTAAAACTATAGTTTTCGTTTCTGAATATCTTTCGAATAAACCGATAAAGCCGTTCCGATCGAACTTTTTTTTCTTCACAATTTTGTCATTGCCCTTTCACAAGATTCACAACATCCAATTAGACCGAATGTCAACAGATTGAAAATAAAAATGGTGTAAACTTGAAAAAAGAAAGAAAAAAACAGATCATTTGTATAAATTCGCTTATCGGAATTTCGGCAACATTGACATTCGTCCAAATAACCTCATTTATTGGTGTCGATCGTCATTTCATAGAGAAATGAAGAAGAAATGTGTAGAAAAAAACCGCTTTCTATTCTTCCATCGTCATCTTCGCGACACTGACAAATGACCAACTGAACTTGTGGCTTCGAAAGTGTGCGATAAATGTGTCGAGAGAGAAAATGAATAGAATAATAAAAAATGAAGAAAAAAAACAACAACAACAACAACAACAAACCGCAGCGTAAAAACGACCAAAGCTATTAAATACAAAATCATATGTTTTATTCTGCAGAAAAAGAGATTTTTTATCGTTTTCTTTCACATTTTCTACTTTCAGTGTGTTATGTTGACTATCAGGACACTGCACGTTCTCATTCGATATGGTATATTTTTGTATGACATGCGCCAAAGTACCGTTTCATCTGAAGGTATGTGTAGTTTTGCTCACATTAATTTCTTATTGACTTTACAGCAATTTATTAAACTGTTCATTTTTTGGTATTTCAATTGTTGATCAGGTGTTTCATGGGATAAACGTGGACCAGTTGCCTATTACGTTGAATTGGGCTTCGAAGTCAGCACATTGCTTATCGATCTCTTGCATCATATCCATATGCTGATTTGGAGCAATATTTTCCTCTCAATGGCCAGCCTAGTAATCGTCATGCAACTACGCTATTTGATCCATGAAATTCAACGTAAAGTGAAAAAGCATCGTAACTATTTGTGGGTGTTGAATCACATGGAAAAGACTTATCCATTGGCAACTGCCGAAGATCTGTCACACAACTCCGATAATTGTGCCATTTGTTGGGAGAAAATGGATACTGCTCGCAAACTTCCATGTTCACATTTATTTCACAAGTAAGTAAAGCCGACGGTCACATCAAACCCTAATCAAATTTCCATAGAATAAATTAACAACGAGATTTCGATTGGTTTTCCAGTTCATGTTTACAATCGTGGTTAGAACAAGACACGAGCTGTCCAACGTGTCGATTGGGATTGAGTGTTCAGAATGCGGCCAGCATCCATCCAGATATTGAGCGGATCATCGACGAACAAGAAAACACAACCAGAGCCAACAACCACTTCTTTCATTTCAATGGTAATTTGCCCGTTCAAAATTCAACCTTTTGAATTATTGCAAGAGAAAAAACTAATTTTTTTCTTCATTTATTTATTTTCGTTGAAGGTTCGCGCTATGTTTCGTGGTTGCCAAATTTCTCCGTTGAGGTCACACACATAAATAACGTGTTGAGAGCAAATCCAGTGATGCCATCAAATGGCATTACCACGCATACATCACAGCTGCGAAATATGGCTCGTCAAGTGCAGCAAATGTTTCCGCGTTACCCATTGTCAACCATTATCTCCGATCTGCAATTGTCGCGATCGATGGAAATTACCATTGACAATATTCTCGAAGGTCGACTCCTTGTGCCAGGCGGTCGATTCGATTTCGAAGAAGACAGTCCATTCGGTGACTTTACAACCACCACAAATGACCAACCACACACCGACGAATTGTCTCGGCATTCATCCGAAACGGATTCAACTAGCAATAATAGTAGTAGTAATAGCACAACAAATTCAATTTCTAGTACGAATAGTTCCTTAAATCTGGCCGACATCGGCTATGAAATAGAACGAAGTACAAATATATTCGGAAATCACAATGATCTTCTGCGAGACGAAAGGTAAGCACATTTTGGAGGAAATATACGTTTCGGAATCAAAAAATAACAACAACCCATTCTTCTCCAGTGGCAATGAGGAATTATCGTTGGGCGATCGATTTTCAAAGAGTCACTCCGAACGTGAGAAAATTCTGCAGCAGCGTAAAGAATCAATGTTAGCTCTAGCTCGAAAAAGGTATGCATTTTTTCGTTCCAATTCAATATGCCTGCAACTCAATCTGAAATGATAATTGTAACCTTATCTCTTTTCTCTCTTTGGTCCACAGATATTTAGAGAAAAACAAAAAGGAACTGAGTGCTGAACCAAGCAATCGAAATGAAAATGTCTTAGCTTAATGAGAGTGATCTTGGGAACATGACGAAAAGCGTATGGGTTTTCATTGGTTTATTCTGTTCACGAATAGAACTGCAATTTTACTGTTGCTCTGTTTGTGGTAAATTAATCAATTGGATCTGGATCAACCAACCAACACATCAATAAATGCGTCATCGGTAGTAAGCAAATAAGCAACTTTACCATGAGCTTTCAAATGGATGACAATCGCTTTGAATGTCAACACATTTTTTTCTAAGAGACTTGAACGAAAGCTACAATTTAAATTTAATTAAATATTTGCACTCAAATGAACTCTAAGGATGGCAAAGACAACAAGAAAAAAAAGAAACATTGAGTCAATGCTGGCCGAATGGCACGGAATTGAACATTTAACGGTGTAATGGTTTCATTCGAATATGCAACGGCACGTTAAATCGATAGATCCATTCATTTATGTAAAAGATATACGAAAACGGAAAATATTATTGATATGTATGTTGAACCAAAATTTGCTATTGGTGATATTTCGATTGAGAACAAGAAAAACAACACGGTGCTACAGACCGAATTGCTGATGTTAGTATACAATTTTATAAAATTGAATGCAGACAACCGATCAAATGTTGCCTAAATGTTTCTGTTCCTACTATTATTATTTTTTCCATCGAATTCTGACTAAACGCGTGCTTCTGTTGTTCACAACAGAACGCACACAGAGCGTCACATTAATTTTAATTTGATAAATCGATGTTAGTCAATGCAACAACAATAATAACGACTATTGCTATGTATAAACGATGACAGACAGGCAAACAAGAATATTGTACTTAAAACAAGAACCAGCCAATTGAGAATTTTACCAATCTTAGAATTTAGTCGTTGTTAATTTGAAAACAAATATGAAACCGTTCTAGTTGCTATTGATCCCATATCCAAAACGGAAAAAAATCTGACTTATTTCATTGAACATCATAATAATCAGAACGTTCATTTGGCATTGATAACTCAATATGTTGCTGAGACGAGTCATATTTGAGTAGATTGAAGCGAAAATGTAATACGGAAAAATTGCGCGGAAAAATGTCAAATGAAAAGGAGATAGCTATATAGTTCATTATAGATTATTATACAGTATACTATATAGATATCCCTTTTCCGCTCATTCATCATCGACATTTTTCCGCGCAACTTTTCTGTATTACATTTTCGCTCCAAACTACTCATTTGGTCGTTGAATTGAAAGAAAGGGGAAATTTAAAAAAAAAAACGAACATCGAATCGTTATGTGATTGAATATTTAATTTTAGTCGAGTAGTAAAAACAATTTCTTCCCCTTTTCTCCTCTCCCCGTCGCACTGCTCGCTTGTAAAGTCACTTTGTTTTTAGTTAAAAAGAGAATATTTTACCTATGACTATATGGGGAAAATAAAATCAGAGATTTGTTTTTGTTCGTTCCAACGACCGATGTCTGCTGAAGATCTTCGAGAAAATCCAATTGATTGATGTATTTTCATTCATATTGTTCACACATATTTATCATTTTGAGATATTTTTATTGTGCATAGCCATTTAAGTGATTATATTTATAAAGTAATTCAATAATTTAAAAAAAAACCTGAAAAATAAACAAACTGAAAAAAAAAAAATCAATAAAAATGTTAGTCAACAAATTGTGATTCTTGGTGGTTTTTTTTCTTTATTTTTGAATTTTCTGTCATCTTTAACGTGAAAAATGGTATACGATCAAAGTGTAACTGTTCGAAAGTGAAGTTCAAAAATTGAATATCACGCAATCTACTACGCGTAGCTGTCAAAAATGAAGAGCTTTGGATGCATACTAATACAGATACAGGCGCTTGTCTTTCATCCATTTTGAAATTTCGGCATTTGCGTCAATGTTTGTGTCTGTACGACGACGACGACGACGTTCATCTCTTTTGTCATGTAAGCCAATGCGTTTTCCATACCATCACATCACATCATTTCCGAAGTCATAGTAAAATTTTCAAAATGCCATGGTAAAATTGGTTTCTCTCTTATAAAATCGAAGACATTTCAGCAGATACGTTAATTTCTGCTTAATTGAATGTGCAACATGTCAAATATCTTCAGAATTCCGGCCGATATCGCACACGATACATAAACTTTTGTTATGAGTACTGAGAGAGCTCGGTAGCGCGATAGCAACAACTCCGTAACATTCGACACAACTGTCATTACGTTTGTGGACGCGTGCATGCGTATTGGTGTATTGGTTTGCGATGCTTCGTTTGCTATACCGTTTCGTACGTTCGTTTGGTTGCCTGCTTTGCTTGCTTGCTTGCTTGTACGCTGCCTGCCTGCCTGCCTGCCTGCCTGCCATGGGTTTGTGTGATAAAAATGATATGTCGTGCGAAGTGCAAGTCTAGACACAATTTTTCTTTTTCACCACAAGACCATAACCGTCAATCAGTCAGTCTTTGAACAATACTCAAAGCGTTCGCACGTTCCCATTTGAAATATCCCTTTTCTTTATCCTGGTTTTTTCGACACTCCAAAAACACACATATATTCATATTACAACACTACATGCGATTCCAATCAAATCCACACACATATATTGCACATCATATAGATATATTTTCTGAAGCCAGTTAAACTGAATTATCATCTTTTCTGTGAATCAATTACTCTATAATCCAATTTAATCCCATTAAAACAGTGTTAATCAGTTTTTTTTTAGTTCTTTGCGATTCGGGTTTGTTTTTGTTTTTGCTGTGCGTTCGTCCTTTAACTCATACATATTTAGAACATAGGTAAATAACAAAACTTTTTTTTTTTGTTAACTCGAACAATTTTTTTTTGACGTGCCAAAATAATCATTTCGACGAAATTTGAAAACAAAACACGACTTTTACATCGAAGCGAAAAAAATTTTCGCTCCTGGCCGTGATTATCCGTTGCGTTGGATGATGAGCTAGTTTTTCTTTTCGTTTGCTTGGATGAACATCATCTTAAAATGTGACAGTGAACAGGAAACATTGTGTGTTTGAAGTGTTAAGTACGCGAGAGAGAAAGAAAGAAAAAGAAAAGATTTCACGATCCTGTTTGTTTCTTTGTCGGCATGTTCATTTTCGATATAAGAAAAAATTGTGTGCTGCTAACCTGGACCGTTTAATTGAGAATTTAAACGAATTGTGAGTTTTTTTGTGCTTTTATTTTTCTTTCGCTCTGTTTTTAATTGTTGCTTCGTGCCGTTCGTTGCTTTTGCTTTGATGTATTCATCGAATATAGGATACAATGCAGCTTTGATTATATATTTGTGGTTTGGGTTTAAATATACAGGACTCGGACTACATGTCATTTCGATTTACATTGTGAGTTGACAACAACAACAACAACAACGACAACAACGACACTGAATCGCACATCTCTAATTTGATTAAAAGAATGCGACAAATCATTTGGACTAAAGAGTGAAAATGTGCCAAAGAATTCAAAATGCAAATAGCTCAAACGAGTAAAAGTAAAGTAGTTGCATAAGGACAGTCATGTATATTCAGTGTTGTTCAGCACCGATTCAGGAGCCAAACGAGATAGAATATATATACGCATCGAACAAAATAAACATACTGCATCAGCTAAAGTGCATATATATTTTTTCTTCTTCTAGAAATGACATCAGCTTCATTTGTTGTAATGTTTGTTGTTCATTTCTTTTGCTCTCTCTCTCTCTTTCTCTGTTCCTCACACAAACATACACACACCGAGTGGCCACTGCGATCAAGAATGTTCTGAGAAATGAGACAAAGTTATCTGAAACAGCAATATCGTAAATGGTGCTCAACAATGACACTAAAAAGCATTTGCATCATTTTGATTGCGGTCGACAACTTTTGAGTGATTTTGCAGCACAGGACTGTAATATAATGTCTGAGTACGTGATTTTTTTTTTCTTAGCTCTGCTCTCGACTCGACTATCCTTCCACATTTCTTTTCTTATCCTCAGACAACGCACATCCATCGGTATATTTAGTCGCTATTCCGTTTGAAGCGTTCGAAGCTAGTGTCGCGTGCGTGTGTATATGATATGTATATAGATTGCTTCTCAATTCCGCATCGTCTCGATGCCCCATTTGACTGAAGAAGTTGAGCGCATTCAGCACAAAAGTTTCGATTTTTGGAATTAACATCACTAGATGTATTGACATAACATGCAGTTCAAGCGATGCTTTCACACTCTTTGCCATTAATACCGCGAACTCTTTACTTTTATTTTTCGTTTTCTTCTCGAGGATATTTTGATCATTTTGCCATCGAAGAAAAAGTTGCTGTGCAAGAGTTTGTTGGTAGCCAAAAAAACCACGTGATGTTTGAACGGAATTAAAATAAATTGCGAACAATGATTCTATTGCAACAATTTTCGGGCGAATATTTTTGATAATACGATTTGTTGCATGCCCGCCTTAAGCAAGAGAATGTATGATTATCCGTCCAAGTGGTAAAATAAAGAGTTAAACTTTCAATAAATCTTTATTTAGAATTTAAGCTGGTCTATCTCATGACCATGTACGTCAAAACTTTGATCCGAATTTATTATCACTTTTTTTGTGTAATCGGGCAACGACGAAATAAAAAGTGTTCTGTATGGAAATGCTAACTGTTTAGTAAACAAAATGTCAAATCATAGTAGGTGTAGTACGTTTGCGGTGTTTGATAATACCAACAAATTCGATGAATTGTCACAAACAAGTTTCCATTCACTAGGTAAATATTTGATGACATTTCATACATGCGCGGAATTCTTTCGAGATAGAAAGAGAGCAAGAGAAAAAAAACATCATTCTATGAACTTTTGTCAGCAAACAAACACCACTGCTCCCCTGGGAATGTGCTAAATGAACAATATTCTAGAATGAACCCGAGAAAAAAAAATAAGTCAGAAAGGAAAGGATCACAAAACGTATTTATTCAAGAACCAAGTCCAGTGCGGTTTTTTGGTCAAATGCAACATGGACATCTGTCAAACAAAGTAGAAAAGCAAATATTATGAAATACTATCTCGCCACCAATAGATTAAATGTAACAACAATTGGCTTGTTGACTTCAAATTTGACACATTCGCGTATATACACAAAATCTAATCGAGTTTTTGCATGTTTTTATTGCACCGAAAAAAAAACCATCACGGGCCGTATTGACTTATTTAGTTTGTGTATAAATTGGGATTTGGAACGCATTTCATTACGTGCAAAATGAATTATTTCGTTAAATTGTTTGCATGTTTATTGGTCAATTATTCATTTTATGGCGGTAGCAACCCGGTTTCCACAAAAGTACCATTCCAACACATTTTATTAATGGAATTGCATGTCTTCTTCGGTTGTTGCTTATTTTCGTTCCTTCAATGTGGAACAGGATTCATAAATAGCTTCCCATGATTTCAAATTAGGGAAATTTGTCTAGGATTTTTTTTTCTCGGTTCGCCCCGTTCTTTGTGTTTTATTTTTTATTTTATTTTCGTAATTCAGTCATAGATACGGTCGGGTTCCCTTGCATTTCTCGTTCTCACCTCCGCGATTGCTCTCACGCATTGTAACGGGAGTGAATGGAACACCAAACAAAACCGAATCGAAAGAAGAAAAAGAAGGAAAAATAAACACAGTTATGTTTTCATCTTTCGGTTGGCGAGATGAGTGTGTGCCCGTTGTTTGTTTTTTGGTTAAATGAACGCTGTTGCGCTGCGCTTTTGTTGCCATTTCTCTCTTACTCACGCTCATTCTCTCTACGCTCGAAAACTGACAACCGTTGTCCTTGTGTGTACGCTGTGGGCTGTATGGTGTTGTAGCGATTTGTTGTATTTTCTTTAATATTAACTTTTTTCCCGGCTTTCATACACATTTTATCTACAAAATATGATAATGCGATAAACAATGTGTTTCGATGCTCTTAAATGAAGGTGTTTTGTATTCAAAAAACAACCATAAAAAAGACGTTTTTGGTCCCTCAAAATAAACTATATAACGTAAAAAACGACATACACGAAACTACAGCATCAACATACCGAATGAGCAGTGCAAAGCAGAGAGCGCACAAGATGAAAAAAAAGCAAGCAAGCAAGAAAGCAAACAGAAGAAAACGACAACGACGACGACAACAGCATGAAGTGAAGAAGAAGAAACACTCATATAGACAACAATGAACGGCAAGTGAGCACCAACACGGAATACCAAAGCAAGCGCGCACGATAACAGCACTGCTGAAAGATCTCAAAATATTCCGGTTACAGCGAACAGCAGCAGCGGCAATGATGGTACAATGAACAAAGCACACAACGAAGGAACAGAGAACATCTACGGCATCACAGAGTATCAGTAGCTTAAGCAAAAATCACATTCTCACATATAAATTTGTGTGTATCAGTTGGCGGTGGTGTTTGGTATGCAGAGAGGTTTTTTTTCCCTCATGCACCCCAACGTGTACAGGTTTAGTACATCCTTGGTTTGATGTCGCAAAATAATAAAAACGACCAAGAACTCTCAATATTACTAAATGCATGGGATTTCGGTCGAACTATGAGATTGCGCTTATTTTCTTCTTCTTCTTCTACGGTCTATACTTCTTTTGTTCCGACGCAAAGCGATTATTTCACTTCGTTTAGCGAAGAAAAAAACGAACGAATCAACACATTGAACGTCTGTAAAAATGCTCGTTTACCTCTTGTTTTGTGTGCTTGTATTGCCCGGCTTGACAATTCCAGCAGCATATTCAACCGCGTGATAAATACCAATTCCAATTGTGTAGAAAACACCCACCACATTCGTTCGATTAAAGTCGAATTGATTCGATTCAGCATTTTGAAATGCAGTATTCCTAAAACATTTGAAGCATTCGACTTCATTCTGGATTGATTATGAAATCCTGCAAGCGGCGGATGTGCATAGAAGAAAATGTGCCGAGAAAGAAAAACCTTCGAGCTGTTCGACTTAATAAATAAATTTATAAAATATAGATGAAAGAAAGAGAGAAAAAAAAAATTCGGCGCACAAAATCATATTAAAAACACATGGCACATGTACAAGCGGATAAATATCTGTGTATATTACACATTCAGCGTGAGTGAGAGTGTTCATCAGAGTTACAGACGCGACATTTGTTGATGTTGTTCTCCTTCTATCAAACACCACACACCACCACCATAACTATATCACGTATGAAGTATGGATGATATCACTGCACCAAAATTCTCTCTATATATCGTACCCAAACTTAGTGTGTCGCAGTGTCTATTTTAATCAGAATCACAACTGCACTCACACAGAATGTGTGCCGAGGTGGGAGATGGAGGCGGCACACAGCTTCCGAAAGATTATCGCAAATGTGTGCACATTGAGCCACCCCATATTGGTGTTGTTATCATGAAAAAAAAAAAAACTCACACACAGGTGCTTCGAGATGTTGTGATTGTGTAAAGCGGCGTGCGGTGGTCCTGTTAAAATAGACACTGTTACCAATATTACAGTTCGAGCACACAATATGATGACAAATTCGAGAAAAGAAATTTCTACATTTTGTAGTACAATCAGGTCGTTCTATCTGCCAATATTTATGATTGAATTTCGGTATTGTATGCCGTATGTTGTCGTGATGCTTGGGTCGGTCGGTCGGTCGGTATGTACTGTACACACACATATGACGATATAAGCTATATATGTCGATTCGAAACAAATATCGAAACTAGCTATTCGGTTTGAAGCGATGAATCGACACAATCAACACAATCGACACCATCCATACATGTTCAGCTTCTTCGTCATCCATATTACATGTGAATTTGGATGTTCAGAGCGTATATATTTTATTCTGCATGTGTCCATATTTTGGCGATATGATTGCGAGCTCAAACTAAAACGGTAACCATATTATGCGCCATAATATCAAAATAATATAAAAAATTTATCAATACACACACACACACACAGTCATGCACACGTATATATGCACATACAATCACGAGTGGATCAGGATCTCTCGTCGTACCGAGAAATGGCAACAAAGAATGAATCGAGAAGCGAGACCATCAGCAATGGCAAGTGGAAGAGAAAAAGGAGCAAAGAAGAAGAAGAAGAAGCACGAGAGAGAGAGAGAGAGAGAGAGAGAGAAAGAATAGAAAAAACTGGAATGCCAAGAAACCAAG